AAATTGAAAGAAGATTGCATGAGAAATTGAACCGGTGGTTTTTCTGGTTTCACCGGTTTTATCGGTTTTTACCGGTTTTACCGGTTTTTGACCGATTTTTACCGGTTTTACCGGTTTTTGACCGGTTTTGACCGGTTTTGACCGGTTTTGACCTAAAACGGTTTTCTTATATGAACCAAACCGTTTTCATGACCGGGTACCGGTCCGACCGGTTCAACCGGCCGGTCCGGTCCGGTTTTAAAAACCTTGGGGATAATAGTCCAATACGTAATAATTTCAAGGGATACAATACAACTATTCATAAGCAAATATATAGCTGTTTAGAGGAAAAAAATTTTTCATAATTTAAATTAGACCAGATTACAAGACATAAACATTTAGATGAGAGGTAAATGACTTGATATTGAGAGCCTCATTCTATTCAAAGATTTATGTTTTCTGGTTTTATTTAATTCAAAATGAAAAATAAAATCTTTAAAAAATATCTTTAAAAAATTTAGTGCTCATTTCGTGTAGTGGTTGGAGTTTTTCATAAAAATTTTGTTAAAAAAAATCTGTTGTAGAAGTATTATTTTTGTAAATAAAAAAATATAATTATAAAATAAAAATAATGTATTAATTTTATTAAAATCTAAATAAAAAGTTCTTGTGGAAGCGTCAATTTAATACTTATGAGATTTATAATAAAATGAAGAAAATATCAATTTGTAAAAAATTGTAATATTTTTCATAATATTAAGTACAACTTGTGCTTTTGAAATCAAAAAATCCTTCTCACAAATTACACCAAACAAGCACTTAGTGTTGAAGTACACAAAAACTACCTTGAAGACATTATAAGGCTATGGTTATGTCATCAAAGTTGTTAAATTTTTGTCTTAATTTAATTATTAAAAATAGTTAATAATTAATAATTATTATTTAATCGATTAAAATTAATTTATAAACAAATATTTTCAAACATAATTAACTATTAAAAAAGAAATTATAAACTAATAAATTTATAGATAAAATTAATGATAATATTATAATTATAATATTACATAAAATTATAAACTTATAATCTTATATGGTATTAAATTAATATAAT